TCTCTTTTTTTTTTTTTAAACTTTAATTTAGACCAACAACCTCTTTTGCATGGGAGGGGCATCTACAAGGAAGCAGCTCTGCTGCATGCCATTACCACCTTTCTGAGGCTGGGGGAGGCAGTTTTAGCCGAGTTCTGCCTCTCTGCTAATGGGCACCCCTCTCTGCTGGCTGGTGGCTGCCATCTGTGGCAAACGTTGTAGAGCATGTAGTCAATCACTGCGGGATGCAGTTATGTGGTGCAACAGCTCTCTAGGGACTGATTTAGGGCCACTACAGTAAGGCCAGTTTGAGATAATTGGATTTTTTTTCCCTCTCCAGCCAGGGTCTCCAGATGTGACAGGGCAGCATAGCTTTATTAACCTGTGTTCATCCATGTTCCCTGTTACAGAGGAAGAGATTTCTTTCTTTTTTTTCCCCTTGGTGTTGAATCACAGCTTAGTGGGGGTTGTTTCCTGCCAGTTCCTGAACAAGAGCCAAGTGGCTTTCCTTGCCTGCTGGAATTTTACAGCATGCACTAAGCAGGGGTGCCACCCTGCTGAATGCTGGCAATTTTTATTTCAGTGAGCACTTCTTGTTATCTCCACCAATACACAAGTCATTTTTCAGTGGACTAGGAAAACCAGAAGAAAAAAAAAATCCCTGGCAGCATTCTTCAGTGACCCATTCAGGTGGCTAAAGCTTTTACAAATGTCCCCTCACAGCTAAGAGGACACACTGTAAATAGCCTGTGTGCAGAACGGAGATGGTGTTTTGCTGGGTCACTCCTGCAAGAGTGTGCAGGTCACTGCTGGAGAACTCCCACCACCCAGCTCTTCCCTGCCCAGGCTCCATCTTGGTGCTCTTGGGGTCCCCCCACAGCCATATCACCATTCCAACTGGACGGAAACACAGAGCTGTGTCCAGCTAGTGCTTTGGCCCAAGACCAGCTGGGCTGTGAGGGAGGAGAAATGAGCCCACCTGGTTGGGAAGATATTTGACCACTGCAGAACAGCAGCCCCAGTCCATCTGCTGGCACTCACCAGCCATGTATTCTTTATCACAGTGCCTTTCTGGAAGAGATGAGAAACAAAGACCCAAGAAGAGCTTAGGTGACATGCTGGAGGTCATAATATAACAAACCCAGTTTTCTCACAAGTTTTGCTTGTGAGTGTTGTACCAAACTATCAAGAAAATTACTTGTATGCTATATTTGTCTGGATAATCCTGTGCTTTAGATAATGGAAGCTTGGCCCCATACTGTGACCCACTTCTAGGGCAAAAGAATTTATTTCAAGAACAGAAATAATGTTCCATCATGGCTGTTGATCATTTACATTCTGTAGCTGTTTGCTGAGGATCTCCACAAGAATAAGAGTTCCATTTTTATCTGTCTTGCAGATCTTAAAGAGAGGCTGAAGGTTTCCTAGTACTGTGCACAATGCAATACAACTCCAGAGCCAGAGTGGAGAACATCCTTCAGAAGAGCATGGTTCTTCACAGTCCAGGCAAGGGTAGTGGTGGCTCCTTCCAATACAAGTAGTTGCAACAGGATCCTTAAAAGAATGATTAAAAGGACACTCCGTTTACCTTCAATCATGGCAAAGGTTTTAAGAGATGTGGCTCTGGAGCAAGAAAGACCACATGCAATTCCATCTGCATATCTGCTTATGTCTGGTCACTCCTTTCTCCTCACTTCACACCTACCCTCTCTTTTTTTTTTTTACCCCATCTGCCAGCAACAGGCAAAATCTCCTATTTTATGGAGAGCAGTTGGTGCTTTCCTACCAGCAACCCATCACCCACAGTGACGGATCTTTTCCTTCCTAAATGATTCCAAGTTATCACACAGCTCTTCTTTCACTAGCAATGCAATGAATTGGGAGTACTAGAATAGGGTTCTCCCCACAAACTTCCTACCTGCCCTCCCAGACAGTTTCCCTGTGAAGCATCATCCCCAGCATCCTGTTCTTGGCTTGCCTAAAGGCTGCTGCTCTTTGACTGAAAGACATGCTTCTGGCATTCCTGGGCAGTGAATTACAGTCATGCTGGCAGCTGCCCTCTGCCCCTGTCTATTGCAATACCTCAAGATGATGTCAGCAGGCCCTGGGCTGCATTAGGAGGAGGGTCACCAGCAGGTCGAGGGAGGTGATTATTCCCATTCAGTTCAGCACTGGTAGACAGACACGTGAGAGGTTCTGGGTTCAGTTCTCAGCTCCCCAGTACAACACAGACAGGAACTTGCTGCACAAGTCAGTGAAGGGCCATGAAGATAATGAAGGGATGAGATATTGAGAGAGCTGGGATTGTTCAGCCTGGAAAAGAGAAGGCTCAGGGGGATCTGACCCTTGTGTATGAATACTCAGTGGTGTGACAAAAGAAGATGAAGTCACACTCTAAGTGGTGTCCAGTTAAATGACAAGAGGCAATTGGCAGAAATGGAAATACGAGAAATAGCATTTCAACATTAACTGCCCCTGTCCCTCCTCCACTTCTCTACTGAAAGGGTAACCACCCAGAGTGACCATCCAGACAGACTGTGGAGTCTCCATCCTTGGAAATAGTCAAAATCTGACTGTATCCACTCCTAAGCAACCTGCACTAGCAACTGACCAGGTGTCAGACTAGACAATTCTCAGAGGCACCTACCTCCCAGCCTTAACTGTTCTGTGATCCCATTTGCTGATTCTTATGTCTTGCATTCAATCCCACTATCCTTATCCTTAACCATCTTGATGAAGTGTTGTTTGGCACTCCTGGGTGAAGGAACAAATTAGCTCTAATGCAGCAGATACTCAGAGACACCTGACCAACAGTCAAATGCACAGCTTTTATGGGGAGTATAAAAAAAATTGTTCCATAAGGTATTAAGACCAGACAAGGGGATTCATCCCATCTAACTCTGGACATTTGAAGCGTAACCATTTATGTCTGAGTAGTGTATCTAGACTCCCTTTGGAGTTAACACAGAGAAAGAGGCATTTCTAGAGAGCGACTCATGTGACCTATTTCATATGAGATGAATCATGGCCAAGAGCTGCTCTTCTTTCTTTGCTGACTACTATGAGGAGAGTGAGGAGTGAAGAGGTCAAGTTTGGACTTCTATACTGTAGACATCTTACAACATTTAGGATGATTCCCACCTCTGATACTTGTGCAGAAGTCTGTTATTGCCTAGAGTAAATTTTTACACACCATAAAATGAGTCAAATTTGATGAATGTCTCTTTGCCTACAAAGAGGACTAAACAAACAGACAACTGATAGGGACAGGCAAACCCCAGAGCACTGCAGATTAAAAGTTCATACACGTGATCTAGGGGTTGGATGGAATCCTATAGTTTTATTCCAAGACTGATTATTTTAGGGGTGCAGGTCAAGGGCACTTTGAGTAATGGGACTCCTCTGGACCAAAGTCAAGAGCCCTAAACCCAACCCTATAGATTTCTTTTGTGGCTGGGCCCCTTACAGTCCAGGGGAGTCTAGAGAACTGCTTACTTGATCAGCCCATGCTACTGTTTCTGCAGTGGACAGAAGAGGGCTGTGGACAAGATGTCTTGGTAAGGATATGTCTTAGATATTTCTTTGCAATTTTTGCAGATTTCTTTGCATACAACCATCAATAGGGTGTTACAAAGGCAGATCATCACTGCATCACACTGTTGATTGAATTTAGTCATAAACTATCCTTGGCCTGCAATGCCAAGCAGCAAGGAGGTAATGTGTGTCCTTGGCAGTGACAGGCCCTAGGCTGGGTCAAAGGCTTGAAGGGATGGTGAGAAGACACAACCTGTCTTGTTTTTTCTTTTGAAATGTGATAAGACAACACAGCACAAAACTGTTTTCCCTTTTTGCACTGTCTGGCACACATCTGGACAGCATCTAGCCAGAGGACTGATCAGACTTGGCAGAGGTAGTTTGGCTGTGCAGCATGATGCCTCCATGCACTACAGGAAGCCAGATGGCATTAACACCCTGTGGTGGTGCCAAGAGTGCTGGGGTGCAGTGTGGTCCTGGGTGCCTCAGACAGTCAGTCTAGGAGCTTGACTCTAATGTTGCACCAATGGCTCTGGGAAAAGGCAGTATAGCTCCAGATTTCATCAGGCAAGTGATCTTTGGGCAAGATGCTTAGCCCCAGGATTTTTCAAGGGAGGCCATAACTTCTAGGTAGCTTCATCATTTTGGAATGTTAACATTGAAGAAAAAGAAAAGGATTGAGAAAGAGTAAATGAAAAAAGTAAACTGATGAGAAAAATAACATGCAAAGTGTGAATGAAAATAGTTAATCTCAAATTAGGTACTTCAAATCCTAAATTAATTCCTGGTATAAAAGAACTTGTGACCTCAAATTTCTCAGAACTTTGATAAAGACAATAATGTGTTTTTTTTTTTTTTTTTCCTGAAGTGCTTAGAGATGTCAGACACCTATATAAGACTTAAGTGTTATCAAGTATAGATATTAGCTGCTGTCCTGTAAAATGTAGTATGCAAACATGTTGGAAACTGCTGTGGGATGCAGGGAAAAGGTTGATATTTAAATATAATTTTACACCTTGACAGTGTTAAATCTCATCATCAAAAAAATCATAAAGTGTTTCTGTCTTATTTTGTTGGAGAGAGGAATATGGCTAACTATAACAAATTGCTTAAAATACCTAGTGCTAAGGTCAGTGGCCCTTACTAAAACTCATTAACTTCTCTCATTTGGTATTTCCTTTTCAATAGTATGAAAATACATTTTTTCTTACAGCTGAGCCCAGTGAAGAGCTAGACAGGACCTAGGTGAACAGGCCCTATTGGACCTGTGGACAAGTGTCCACCTCAGTGGAAATGCATAATCTCCACCTCTTCTTGCAGTGGTGTAATTCCATGTAGATCAGGAACAGTCCAGCTCCAGAGGTTTTTACCCCCAATATTGTCAAAATACATGTGCAAGAGAAAACTATTTTGCTGAGCTTACATTCATCCTCAGTGAGCTGGCTTTCAGATCCCAACATCAGTGTAAAGACAGCCTTTCTTTCCTGTAGGAAATCAAGGGCTTGATCAGGCAAGGAGCTGCAGGCAGGGTTTGAGTACACCTGGCAGTGTTCTGAGGAACTCTGAAAAGCCTCTTGCCAAGTACTTAGCATCTAATCTGGGGGAATGCCCTTATTCAGAAGTGCACATTTGCATGCCACCCTACCACCTTTAGTACTTGTCTTCCTGAACTGGGACTTCCTCCTGTGGTGTATGCCTTTATCTCATCATTTCTCCCTATATATTTACACATAGTTCAAATAACGGCTCCAGGCTGGGCCTGTGAGAGGAGGGAACAACAATTATCAAAGAGGCAGAAAAAGTTTTCAAAGTGCTGTTGGGAAATCATGGGTTGTTTTTCTTTTCTTTGTATAAATTTTCCTGTTTTTCCATTTCATGGCTAATTGAGCCAAGGCCAAATCGCCTATTCACCACTGCCTAACAACTTTGTTTCTGATGATGTCTGTGCATAATAAAACCAGCAGTCTTAAATGGGAGAAGTTGGTCATCAGAGCTTCCAGGCAGTTTCAGAAGGGCTACCCTAATTCACAGCAGTTAAATATCTGTCACCCTGACTTTACTTTGCTACTTAAATGGGTAAATAGTTTCCAAAGCATGCATGACTGCATTGAAAATCTTAAAAACTGGCATTGCATGAAAAAGCATTGCCTGGTTACAAGAGATTAATCAATCACACCAACCTGAGATGTCTCCAGCAAAGGGTCCAGCCTCCAAATTAACCATGACTGCTAAGATACCATTCCTCTGTTCCATTTCATTGTTTGTTTCATGATGAGAAGAACCTGAATGTTCACCCTGGAGGTGCTCACTTCTCCAAATGTCCAGGGGAAGCCCACATGTTTTATCTGGATATAACAGCTCTCTGTAGACCCTCTATATTCAGTGTTTCTGTTATGACCAGAAGATCCTTAAAATATCACATTTCAAAAAAAAAAAAAAAGTTATTACATTGATTAGGAGTTCTTCACTAACAGTTACACCAGGGAACTTCACCAAACTGCTGTGTCACAGCAGCCCTCATAATTGGATTACTTAAAGCCAGATCACAGAGGGTAAATGTATCATACAGAAGAGCCCCTTGTTAAATTAGCAAGATCTAGAAATAGACAGAAAATGCCTCTGAAAGCCAAACTGTAGCTAAAATACTTTGCCTTCTATCAAAACCCAGCAATGCCCCATAACATTCAACATTTTACTGTATTTTGATGACAACATTTTGTTTAAGAAACAACACCTGGAGGATTATCTTGTGTCAATCAACGGCCCTTCCCATTTCAGACATTGATTACAACAAGCTGGTGTCTTTTTTAAGATTATATCAGCCTAGAGGCTTTGTCCCTTCTCTTGGACCTTTCTTTTGTATTTCTATTGGCATGTCAGCAGCAGCCTCATGAGATCTTGGCCTTGTTGGTGGAGAAGTTGCCAATGCTATTTCACCATTTCACTTGTGCTGCTTTGCTGTTATGGCCTTCTTGGTGATGTCACTGCCAGGCGTCAGAACTGATTCACTCTTTCTGGGG